GATCGACGATGACGAGGACGACGACGACGACGATGGCGGCGTTTCATCGGATCGGAATATCGGTTGTAATAATAATAATCGTGGATGAGTCGCGTGCTTGTTTTTGAAATGTAGAAACCGGGGGGAATGATTTGGATTGTAATAAGGACGGTGGTGGTGGATGGTAATTAGATTCGTTTCGCGTGTGCGTGCATCCGTGTAGGATTGTAAGTAAGTATTGGACGTCCGTTAGGGAATGGTGTGGTACGATAATTGACCTAAATTGTCGGGGAGATGATTGATCGGGTAAAATTTGTATTTTGGTTCGTATATCTGTGTTTGGGATTCGTATTGTTTTTTTTTTTTTTCTTTTTTTAATTCAGTGATGCAATTCTTTCGAATAATTTGGTAATAAATTTGTTGTTATTCTGAGAAACGATTATTTGGTAGTATATCTTACGTATTATATCATCTTTACTTTCTTTACTTTTGTGTATAGTCATATTTATCGATTATGATCTAAGGATAATAATGTTTTGTGATTTTTATTTGGATTAAAGGATTCGTAAATCTAGTCGATTGAATGAAAATACAATTTATTTCGAACAAAGAATTTTTTACAGTAATATATTTTAATTTATTTATAATATATAATTAGTAAGACAGTTGTGAGCAATATTCAATAAATATATTTATTCTTATAATCGCGCGATTTATCTCAAAATTTGATTAAATCCTATTAAAATTAGGAAAAATTTGAACCGCTCTAACTCGAAAAATAGTAACTTCCGGTTAATGAGTGAACGATCATCAGAAGCGCGAAACCTTGCCCTTCAAAGCGCTTTTTCATTTATCCCGATACGACTTCCGGTTTCTAAAATATCAACGTGTAAAGAGAAGGTAATTTTTAACCATTCACCTTCATCTCACTTAAACCTTATTAAAATTTGGAAAAATTCGAATCGCTGTAACTCCGAAGATAATGACTTCCGGTCGATGAGCGAACATCGTCAGAAGCGCAAAACCTTCCCCTTTAAAACGCTTTTTCATTTATCCCGATACGATTTCTGGTTCTCGAGATATCGTCGTGTAAAGAAAATGGTAATTTTTAATAGTTTACTATCCTCGTCCTTGTCGCTTACTCGGACCTCTCGCTCGCACCTCGTCTCACTGACCTATCCCAAACTTTAGACAAGCGACAGACGCGATTCCTAGAAAAGCGTAGTACGCGTTTCCAGCAAAAAAATATAGGTCACGAGCCCATTCATAATCTCTAAACGCTATATTAAGCATTATGAAAAGTTTGAGCCCTTATATCTCGGCAACCGATTGAGATATCGGAATGAATCAAAAATCGATTTCAATGGCATAGTTTCCTCTATTTCCTGACACGGTTCAGAGAACAAAATTTTTAATTTTTTCTCGAAAAATTTCTACACTTTGAAGAGTCAAACTTTCGCGAATCTATCTGAATGCAATGATCTGTTGTTGTGATAAATATATAAATATACAAGAATACAATTTATATACAAGAATACAAAATATATGACATATTTTCATTTACTTAGAAAAACACTTGTACAGTTTTAGCTACGTACAAAATCGAGGATCTAATTATTCGTAAATCTCGCTGTGTAAAAGATCACGTTCATAAAACGATTAGGATTCCGTTCGCATGCATTGGACCAAGCGCCA